CCAAAAACTGGAAGAGAAGCCATGGAGCATGCGTATAAAGGTCACGCGCTGTTTACAAACAAGCTCATAACACGAGAAGAGGACAATCATGGTCGTCTAGCAGCGGCGGCTGAGGTTAAAGGCTAGAGAGGCGGGGCTAATAATTGTCGATACGATAAAGTATTTATTCAGATTAAAAAAAAACTTATTCGTGTGGATGGCCCCTGAGCCTGAACCAGGTAAGGACCTGTTTGCTTTCTATCTCTGACAGTACAGAGATATTCTGCTAATTCATAATCTCTTTTAAGGGCAAGATAACATTCCAATCTACTTTGGCTTTTAGTGTCTTCTTTACAATGTTCCATATAGGTTTCTTTACGTTGCTTTATAATTGGGTGTACTCTGTATTTGGAAAGCAGTGTTGTTGTATAACTGAGAGGAGTCAGTTAGTCTCAGCACCAACTAAGCTTAGCTTTAATTTAAACATTTTTGAATATTAATAATCACTGGGAACTCTTTACTGATTATAAAGTATAAAAACACAATATATAAATGTCACAGTAACTAAGCTTGCTTTAAGTTGTCCCCCAGTATTTTCCCTTGTGCTTCCTTATGTTTCCCATCCATGTCCGTATGTCTGTGTGTGTAGTTTGGGTGTGTCCTTAACCCTCCCCTCAGGATCGCCTTACATCTACTTGCTGGTCTGCTTGTTATCCCTGCACCTCTCCAACCAGCCACACTTACACCCTTGCCTTCATTCCTGCCCAGCCATGCTCAGTCATCTCCCATCACGCACTTGTCTTGACTGTGGCACGCAGTTAAGTGTTCAGTCTGCACATGAGCCTGCTAGCACACAACCTGTTAGCCCCTGCCCTGCTCTGTCTGCCATGTGGTCAGTTAGCTGTAGTTGGATTTGTGAGCCTGCATCCTGTCTGTACTGAGCCAGCTAGTCTGCCACCTGCCTCTCCTGCGCCGGCTACCTTGTCCGATTGCTAGTCAGCTGAGCCTGCCTGTGACTCCCTGACCCCTAAAAAAATTATTACATTACATTAGCTTTTATCTACAGACAGGTAGCCTTTCATTGAGGTTGCTTTGTTGAACTGCCATGTTTCTACAGTAGCGCAGAAGGGACAAATCAAACACTGGCTCTAGTGTCAGTTAGCATTTCTTATGGACACCATAGTTTCTCTTTTGTACTTCAGCTTGGAATGGGAAGGTGAAGTGAAGACATTGTAAGCTGCATCTACACAGCTAGGTTCCTAAATTCTTCACACTTTTCTTCACAGAAAAGTGTTTCGCTCATCTTTTAGACCATCCCCATATCCTGATCAATGAGCCAGTCCTACTCCTAACTGAAAGGGGTTATTGGGAATTTTTTTTTCTTATATTATATATATTTAAATATTGTGAAAAAAAAATCATTTAATCCTTCAAACACTGTAATTATTTTTCCACATATTGATCACTATATAAACAAAAACATCCTATAGTCAATATTGGATGCTGGACAGTTTGAAGCATTGTGTGA